AAATTTCCAATGCTTGTCCGGCTGCATATGTCCGGCTCTGAACACGAGGACGCTTAATCCTCCAGGGACTCGGTCCCTTTTTTTTCAAAACAAATCCCGTGCTCTCTTTCCTGGTCAACGCCAGCAGCTGCTCCTTGCGATCGATAATCACCACGTCGTGCCTTGGTGGGTTCCCATGCTCGGGTCTTGCCTAGGCCGGCCGTCTACGCATCGGATTGATGGAAGTAGCGTCGCGTACGCTTGAAGCTGCAGTGCGATGGATCGATCCAGAGCCTTTGGATCTTGCCGAGAACTCTGCCTCCTTCCGATTGCTATTCCAAAAAACGCCGCTGTCCGGATCACCCCTCGTCCGTACATGTCACTCGTTGCGACATCCATACGAACAATGTTAATCCATGCCGAGCGCTTCTCTCCTCTAGATCAACGATTCGCATCCTCAAATTGAACCTTACTTATGATACCATTTGTTAAAATAAATTCGAGGCATACCGTCGATCATCCGAGTACCAAGCAATCACACGAGCACGATACCGAGACTTGTTAACGAGGTTTACCGATATGGCTACATCCTCGAGGCCTGACTACGGGCGCTCCTTCCCGTGACACCGTCACAATACCGCACCTCCGCCACCAGGGCGCCGACACACGCCGCCGGCTCCCCCTTGCGCGCATGTGCTATTATGTTGACATAGGTTACATCGTGTATCTACCCTCGCTATATATGAGAGGTCTAGAATACAAGTGTTCTATTAGGACACGACTCCACATCCTATGTAAACACAATATAACTCATAGTCCAACTATAACCTACCTTGTACACTATATTCGACACAACTCTAACAACGAGCGCGACGCATCTGACCATCCCCGCGCCGTTCGACCATGTCCACGAACCCCCCTATGAGCTCCTCCTCCGATCCCCCTGCTTTGCCCCTCGATCCACTCCGTTAGTCGCCGCTCCTGTGCATGGCTTAGTCGCCATGGCCGCGCCGGAGTTCTCGTGTACGTGCTGCTTGCCTGCTTCTGCTGCGTGCTGCTCATGCTCCCACCGCTACTCGTCGTTGCTGCCGCTGGATCCGGCCGCGCCCTCGCTGCCCCGAGGCCACCCTGCGCGCGCTCGTCGGCCCGTTGCTGCTCGCGCCCGCCCGCGCTGCCGCCGCCGCCGCTGGCTTGTCACCGCTACTTTGCAACGCCTCTCCTGCTGCCGTTAACTGCTGCTCTTAGCTGCTACTTGCTCCTGCGCCTGACTGCCGCCGCTGGCCTCGGCTTGGGCTGTGGCCAGGGCCGAGCGTGTGTGTGTGTGTGTGCGTGTCGTGTGTGTCGTGTGTGTGCTGTGTGTGTGTCCTGTGTGTGCTGTGTGTGTGTCGTGTGTGTGTGTGTGTGTGTGAGTGCGCTCTGTGTGTGCGTACGTGTGTGTTGGGTCCAACCCTGTTACTGCTAGTTTAGTATAGTAAAACAACGGAACGTGGCCTCTTTTTCTTAAACTACTAGACACTAGTTAATTTAAGTGACAATGACATGTGGGCCCGTTTGACTTCATTGACCAGTCAACTGGTCAACAGTTGACTGGGTTGACTCAACAATTGGGTCCCATCTGTCAGCCTCTAATGCAAAAGTGTGGTACACTTTCGGGTAACAATAGCAATTTAGGTATTACTAGCAAAAGGGCCCGTGCGTTGTAACGGGATAAGGGATAATAAAATTTCGGCGTTCAAATCAAGCCATTGAGAACAAAATAACTATAGTGCAACGGGAGAAAAAAACTTCTCGTTTCTCTAGCTCAGTAAATTTATTTTAAAACAATGACTTATATTGAATGATACATAAATGCCTTGAATAAATGTTAGTCCAAACCCTTGATTTTGTGATTACACGGGGCATCAATTGTATATAGATTTAATATGTACTCCCACCGTTCCTAAATATAAGTTTGTCTAGAGATTTCGATAAGGGACTACATACGAAGCAAAATGCGTAAATCTATACTCTAAAGTATGTCTATATAAATCTGTATGTATTTTGTATTGAAACCTTTAAAAAAGACTTGTATTTAGAAACGGAGGGAGTACATAGTCATTTTCTAGTGATCATCATTATGCCCATGGAATTTGGTGTCCTTATGGGAAAGAAAAGTGATGGAAATCAGTGACAATATGTGTAGAAGCTCCGCTGCTTTTTCGGTGCAGTTGGGCGCTCCCTCTCGACCCCTCTCTACTCTGTAACTCTTGTTTGATCTGGTTATATGAAAATTCAGGTGGGCAGTTTTTCTGCCTCCCGGTGATGTTAAAAAAACAACAATATGTGTAGAAGAACTATGAAGACATCACCGACTTACGGGTTGTTTGGTAGCACTCCAGCTCCTTTCAAGCCAGTCATGCATTAACCTGACTTCACAAAGCCAACTTAGCGCAGATCGAGAAAGCTCGCCTCCATCTTTGGTCCTGCCTCTATCTCTAACTATAATGTTTTGCCGGGCAGGTGGAAGGAAACGACCCGAGTTCGAATCCCCACCCAAAAATTCTTTTTTCGCTTATCTTCTGAAGCCCAGGAGCAGGCCCATTAGTATCTATGGCCCAGTAAATACATATACGGGGTTGACGTTTAGAAACGGACGAACCACGCGTCATTTTTTTTAACAAAACATTGAAACGTTTTAAAACATAAGGAGTTTCTGTAATATGTTGACGGTGAACGGGCAGAAGCAATCCGTATACTTTTTTAGTATAGCAAACATGCCCAACGGGATAAAAATAATATCACATACTCTAGCCAAATAAATGATAAAAAATATCACACTCTAGCCGAATAAATATTGTTCAAGACCCCCACAACTCCACGCTCCTCTATATCAACTTGGCACCCCTTCTTAAAAATAGTAGCTAGCTTGCGCTCTGACCCGAGTAGCATGGTCCACAGTCCCGCAGAGATTGCATCATCCATTCCTAAAATATCTTCCAGTGAACTTGACAAACTGCCTATCATCCAAAATTATAGGACTAAAAGATGCATTACACATTTCAGATCAATTTATTTTCAAATGGTCTAAAATAGAATGATTGTCCTTAAAACAACATAAGTAGGCTAAGCTGAAGTACTTGGCGCAAATTATACTCAGGGGTCATTCATTGATTGAGCGAGACATGGGATTGTGGCGGCCTCATCTGTCCCTATAGAATAATTGCCAGAAATAATTGTGTGTGCTCAAATAGGTGTACAAATAGCTAAAACAGGAAGCAATGACCACCAACCAAATTAATATAATCAGATTCAGTAGACCAAAAAATTATGTACAGATCCAAACTTTAGACATGGTTTACTGTTCTTATGTATGTGTTGGTTATATTTTACAAGTATATACTGAGTACACGACAATTTCCTTTTGTATGATGCAAAGTACACTTCATTGGGTCATTCTAAGCTTACTTAAAGTAAACTGGAAATTGTTCGGTCATTCTAAGCTGAAAATTTCTCAATGAGGAAATTCGTTGGGTCATTCTAAGCTGAAAATTTCTTTATATTTTCCAAAAGGGGTCCCTCTAGGCTTAAAGTACCAGTCTTTACAAGTAGAGATCATACATATTGTCATGAAAATCTCATACGGTTTTCTGTTCATATAAACATCACTAATCTGGGTCCTGGCTGCTGTATAAAATAGAAATGATGCAATTCAGTTGTTGTACAACTCAAGTATTTCATCACTAATCTGGGTCCTGGCTTAATTATTTTGGTCGGGAACAGTTCTTAATTCTGATTAGGAAATGATTATACACTCTATTAACATTAATAGAAGAAATCTAAGAAGATGATATATGCTAAACTGTCAAAGTACAAAATATTCAAATTCTAGGCTTACTACAGAGGGGCAGAGGATTAGCTATACAATGAAGATAATCTGAAATTTAGCTGTGTGTTATGAAGAAACAACAGGTAACACACAACATCCAAATTTCCCCATTGAGAAACGTCATCTGATTTCATTGGCTCACACTACAATCAGCAAATATTAGATCCGGTAATCTAGAAATAGTCTCATGTAAACATCAAAGTAAGCTGGAATCCACATCGCTGAAGCCTCATGTAAACGGTTAGCTTGCATCGAAGTGACCTTGTTGTCTAGTGTTTATACCTCTCTAATGCAAGGTATCAAATTTCAACACTGAAACTCTAGTTTAATATGCAATCCAAATATTTCAAAGCAACAGTTAAGCATCAAGACTCTAGAGTGTTGTCGATTAAAAAAATAAGCATACAAAGACTATGCTACCATTTTCCAGTATATAGTATATACACTACCAAATCCATAATGTCCAGTCTCAGCCAATCTAGCTCATTACAAGCCAATATTGCTGGTGTCGAGTTGAACTTAACCTTGTAATAAGAGGGTTGTGCTTATTTAACCAGCACTCAGTTTAAAACGAAAAATTATGATGCAGTGGTTCCCAAAACATGATCGTGTGTGTGCTCCTCTGGTCTAACTGAACACCAGTGCTCTGTTTCAGTTCGTGGGTGCTCTATGCTTGTCATGGATGGGACACTCACCTCCATAACCAGTTTGTTCTACATGATGTACATGGTACGGCAAGTAGAGGTAAGATTGGGATTGAGGCAGAGAAAGCAAGGGAGAGAGAAGAACCTGTAGAACCAGTAGGCACCGCTACACTGTCGAGGTCCTCGCGCTGCCCATCGCCCTTGCTCCTAAGGCCTGGCTTCCCATGCTCTTGTTCCCCAAGTCCCATCACCAGTCAGCCCGTCCACACACTCACACGGCCGCGACATGTCGCCGCGGCGGTGGCTGACTTTTCTCCTTGACTCAGCACAAAAACTTAATGTACATGGACAATTCATTTTTCTATCAATTTGAACTGTAGTAAATCCTTATAATGAGAACGTAAAGACAAACCACAATACAAAAGCATAATTCACAGACATTAACACCATATCGATCTTTAGGCTTTAGTCTAATCGCGTCCTAAAAATTCCTCGCCCTTAATCTTCCAACTTCATACCAGGTAAGAAAAACATTTGGCAACCCTAACCCTAGTGTCAAGCAACCAGGTACGCAAGCACGAAAGCAAAGCGTGACGTAATTGAACAGAGGAGAAGCACGGGACATACCTGGCTGCGCAGCCCATCCCTGCTCCCCTCCCTTGATTTTCTCGGGGAAGGCGTAGTTCACGGCCGAAGAACTCGGCGCCATCCATGTTGTCCATGGCGGTGGCGGTGTTCTCGCGCTCCAGGAACGTGAAGAACCCAAAGGAACAGTGCTTCTGCGTGGCCTGGTCGAGCGGCCTCTTGACGCCCTTGTTCTCCCTGAACGGCACGAACACCGCATGCAGGATCTTCTCTCCCCCTCCTCCGCCAGTCCACCTGCGCCGACGAAAGCAGGGACGGAGCTCGGCTTAGTTTTCCATCGCACAGGAACAAGAAAAGGCAAGGTCCTTTCGCACCGGGGGAAGCAACCCGGAGAGCAGCCGGGGGCGAACCATGCGCATCTCGCTGAGAAATTTCGTCAAACAGCTGGCGAGCGACCGAGCGCGGACAGCGGCGGCAGAGAAGAGGTTAGTGAGGGAGGATGGTGCCACCGTGTACCTATGTAGGGGGTGTTCTTCTGCACCGGCTGGTTCATGGAGGCGACGGTGGTGGCGACTGCGACGATGAAGCTGCGGGGTCGGTAGGAGCCGGGGATTGCTTGCGGGGAGGAAAGCAGAAGCAGGGGACCCCAAGAACGGATGGACGGAGAAGACCGGCCGCGCGTGGTGGCGGTGGCAGCGGCGCCGTACCCTTACGCATCGAGGAGGAGATCCGAGAAGACCGGCCGCGCGTGGCGGCAGCGGCGACGGCGGTGCCATACCCTTACGCATCGAGGAGGAGATCCCAAGTTCGTGTGTTCTTTTTTATAAATCTGATCCGAGTCCATGAGGCACAACCCACCGGCCACGAAACGCTTTCTCTGTTCACCACTTAAAAACAGTACCGCGGGTTCAATTGTTAGAAACTACAGATACCTTTGTGTAAAAAGTCCACGATGGTGAACCCGAAGACTCAATCCGTATTTTATTATTATAAAAAAATAACTAGTAATAAAGGTGCCCGTGCGTTGCAACGGGGCATACATATTTGAATGATACAACACCATATGGACCCTTTGCAAAAAAAACATCATATAGATCCTCATCTATCTCAGGTGGCATTGTCAAATTCTTTTTACCATTAAACTACTTTTCTTCTTCTCTTCCTCCTTCTCCTTCACCGCTACTCTTCGTGTGCTGGCTGGGCTTGAATTTTAAACTATAGCATTATAGGAGACAAATATGTGCTACAAAAATATTACATGTGCTTAAACCATAGAACGTGAGATCCACAATAAGGCATAAGAAAATGTGTAGAAAGCTCATCATCTTTTATTGTAGTGGCAGTCGATCTAAATATTGAGATACGACGATATGCATCTGCTTGCTATCCATGTGGGCTGGATTAATTCCCTTTGCTTTTTATTTAGATTTGCAAAGACTACTAAAGATGGTGTATCATTAACATGCAATGGCCAAAATTAGAGTTTGCGGAAAATAAAGTAATGTATCTGGTAAACATTTGAGCTACTCTGCCCTCTATGTTGCTACACTGCAATTTTGGCACGCTGGTGTCTTGTACCTGGCACTCCAAAGAAAAGAGTGATGTGATATTCTATCGGACACATTGGACTCAATTTTTTGTTGGCAAAGGTAGGGAGTTGGTGTTGGCAACCAAGAGAAGATCCACAATTTGATATAAGCACAAAACGTGTAACTTAAAAGCTACTCCCTCCATTCCAAAATAGATGACCCAACGTTATACTAAACTTAGTCTAAAGTTGAGTCATCTATTTTGGAACGGGGGGAATAATAATACTACCTTCTCCCTCGAGACTTCGTTAAACCATCATTTTGTCAACCATTAAATAAACAACATTAACGGAGGGAGCATGTAATTCTTGCTGATGAAGTAATACTTTATTCTGCAAAAACATGCTATTTTTGTCATAAGTAAAGCAAAACCACCAACAATAACGGAGGGAGCATATATATATATATATATATATATATATATATATATATATATATATATATATATATATATATAACTCCTCTTCTGTACTTCTGGGAGTATGTACTCCCATTTCTCAATATACCTCATATACGCATTAATTATATCTCTTTATTATTCTCAATATACTTCATTAAATATTCTAAGATACCCCAATACGAGTTTTGTTGAAAAAATATTATCTGCGATGCACTTTTTGTAATATACTTTTTTCACGTACAAACACATCAGTATATACGTAAACATTTAAAAATATGTAGACTCACATGAATTTTTTCATGGAACTCATTTTGGGGTATCTAATAATTACTAATGAAGTGTATTAAAAATAATGAAGTGGTATAAAAGATTCATCTATGTGGTATATGAGAAGCGGGAGTACGTACTCCCAGGAATACACAACCATTTTCCTATACGTCTCTTACATTTTAGATGACTCAACCTTCTTCCTCATGTTTCTTACTCCCTTTTTTTATACGTCCCTTATTACCAGATTTTCATCCATCATTTGTTCGCCCATTTGCACATAAAATAAAAAAAAATATGTTCACAATTTTAAAAACTGTTTGCAAATAGTATAAAATGTTCATGAATTCAAGAAATATTTTTAATTTTAGAAAATGTTCAAAAATTTGAAAAAGTGTTCACAAATTTTAAAAATGTTCATGATTTCAAATATGTGCACGAGTTTTAAAAAATGATCATGATTTTAAAAATTGTTCATGATTTCACGAAATTGAGAGTGATAGTGTATCTCGATGATGCAACAAAATATGGCCATGGCCATTGAAGATTAGGAAGAAAAAATCTCCCGTTGCAACGCACGGGCTCTTTTGCTAGTAATTCTTAAAAGGTCAAATACGCATTCTTCATGAAACCAGGGACTTTTGTCTATTAAAAAAATTAAATCTTTGGACAAACCTTTAACTGGTGTAAATGCACGCGACAATCAACTAGGAACTCCCAGGATCCTTCCTAGTTGATTTGGTGCTCATCCGGAAAAAAAAAATTGTAGCCGATGCTAGCAGCCTAGCATGGTTAGCACGCATAGCAACATCCAGCAGCTTCCCCTCAAATCTCTATCAAATATAAATAAAACTCCAGCAGCTTCTAGTCGGTAGCAGCAACAATTTCATCATTAAAAAAAAAAGCACAAGTCCCCATCGAGGAGCTATCTCACCGCTCCTTATCCACACGCATCGCCTCACCTAGCGCGGTCGCTCCGCCTCCGTCCATGGCTCCATCTTCCTCCTCCTGCTACCTCATCAGTCACCACCCGCTCCTTTCCTCCTCTGCTCCATCCACCTAACCACTCGCTGCTCTTCTCTTCTATCCAGCCCATGAGGGCGGCTTGGCGTCGCCCCGCCCCAAGTTCACTCCTCCTGGCCGTGCTCCACCGCAGAGCCACAACAGCCGCCCCCCTGCCCCTGATCTCCTGTTGGCGACCTCTCCAAGCCGACGATGCACTCCACTCCTGGAGTACGCGGCCGCGGTGGCCCAACAAAATACCCCCCCTATCGGTGCCGCACCAGGAGGGTGCCGGGGACTGGCGAGCACGGTTAGGCTGGTGCTGATGCACGACACCGAGGCGACAAAGCCGAGCGAGGCACCGGTTGCGCCGGGCACAACCACCAGATATTCCACTGGCTGGCGCGCCTCCAGCCGCGAGGATGGAGAGCTCCCTCGATCCCCTACTCCTCCGCACACCCGAGCCCCACCTCGCGCCGATGGCCAATGAGTCACCGGCGAGCAGCAGGAGGAGGAGGACGCTGCACCTCACCGCTCCCTTCTCTCGCCCTCCGGCATCCCATCTCCTTCCTCTGTCCTCCCTTCTCTCCCGCTCATCTTGCTCTGTACCCGACGCCGTGTTGCACCCGCCAACTGTCGTGCTCCAAGCTCATGCCGCTTTCCTTCTAGATCTGCCGCCTGCGCGCCATTTTCCACCGGATCCGAGGAGATCCGGCAGGTCCTCGCCGACCGCACCACCGCAAGGCCGCCACCGGTCTCGTCTGTGTAATGGGCGCCCAGCTGTTGCCCAGCGCAGTCCACCTCCCTGCCATGGCCGCCCCTGCAAAAAACGAAACACTGCCTCAAATTAGCCATTCACACACGCACACAGAGAGGAGCGGGAGCCCCATGCGCCGGACCTCCGCTTCCTCTACGCCGAAGACCAGCACCATGGCCGCCGCCGTCCGCGCCAGACTGCCTCTGGCGCTGCCATCTCCGCCCCTGCCTCGCTCCACCTCTTCCCGACGCGACTACGACCAGGGGATCTTGCGGGCTGACGACGAAAGAGGCCGGGGATGGAGGCAAGTTGCGACACGTCCGCCGACCGCCGTGAAGCCTCCTGCGGCATGCTCGCCCATGAGCCCACCCGGAGCTGTCGCCGCCGTGAAGGGCGTCAGCCCACCGCTCTCGGAAGAAAGCGTATGGATATGATAGAACAAAGGATCGCAGGCTGAATTGTTACAAACCTAGGGTCTGTTTCGTAAAAATGAATCATTTTTCCATATTCACTTAAACATGGTTTGCAGGTTGAATTCTCAGAAACAGAGGGGCTTTTCTGTAAAAATTCCGATGACGTACGACCAGAAGCGATGGCTGCTTTATTATTATTAGGGGAAGATTAGGAAGAGAAAATGATTTTTGAATTAATAATAATTTCTAGAATATTGGTTAAAATTTAGAAATTCATATAAAATAAACCGTAGCTCGGATGAAAATGTTTTCTAGATGGAAGTTGCTCAGAAAAATGAAACGAATCCGAATACGCGATCCGTTTTCCTGTCAGATGCCTCTAACTATCTGAACATGGAACTTTCCCCCTCCGGTCATCTGTCTGACACAGGTCCGGAACCGGGAATACCTTCCCGGTTGAATTCCCGCTTCACCTGTATCATGCAGCACTATGTTAGAACACTCCTAGCGCTGCGTGTTACTATGTTATGCCTTGTGATGCATTGTTTGCTCTGTATTTACTGTTTCTTCCCTCTCTTCCCTCCGGTAGACCCCGAGACCAATGTTGCCCCTGTGATCGACTACGTCGACGACACTTCTTCTTTTTCAGCAGAGCTTTCAGGCAAGCAACCCCCCCCCCCCTTGAGCATTCCGATATCGCCCATTTCTTTCTCTCTCATGCTTGCATTAGAACTACTACTGCTTTCTGTATGATCCTACTCTGATGCATAGCCTGTTTTTGTTACCTGCTTATTGTTACCTCACCTGCTTATCCTAAACTGCTTAGTATGGGTTGGTTAGTGATCCATCAGTGACCCCCACCTTGTCCCAGTTGCCTTGCTTTATGTTCGATGACTCGGTCAACATGATCGACATCCAGGCCCCGACACCGCACATCACTTTCCCCTTTTGTTGCTCGACTTTGCAGAGTTACCATCGAGTGCCGAGGGTGGAACCTCATACATCACTCCTGATGAGATCTCTGTAGTGTAACTATCTGGTCGTGGTCATCGAGGGTGATTTCCTCCTTAACCACTTCCGTTACGGCTCTGTCATGCAACCCCTCAAGCGTGAACCTCGAGGGTGGATCCTCTGACGTTCACCTTGATGATAACATCGAGTGGAATTCACCGGGGGTGATTCCTCGGGTTTTTCCCTTGGTGTTAGGCACACAGTTACTATGGTTACTATGACTTTACACTGAATCATGTTACTAAAGACGGGTCGGCCCCGAGGGGTACCCGCGCGAGCTTAATAGCGAGTGATGTGGAGTCGGGTTGACCTGGAAGGTGCCCGCGAGATACTCACGAGGCGTGGCCGG